TATTAAAAACCTAACATCGGTTCATCTCGTTGAATATCTTTTATTGAAGGAGTATTTGTTCTTTGAGTTGATTGAGATAATTGAGATGTTGGAGATGGTTCTCTTCCAAGATTATTTTCATATTTAATTGATGAAACATTTTCTGTTTCTTGACGAATAACAGTTGGATATGGAATTCTTACTGTATCTTCTTTTTCTAAATATATTTATTTAAAATAAAAAAAAAAAGATATTTTTTTTGTTTTTAAAATAAATATGCAATACCATTTTGAAAAACAATATAAGTCATTGGATCAATTTGTTCATTTAATAATAAATAAAATAATGGTGAATCAAGACGAGATGATGGTGTTGCATAAACAGGACATGTATAACAATCAGTTAAGGATTCTGTTGCATATATTTCAATTGATGGACAATTATTTATTATTCCACTAAATAAATAATTTAAATATAATTATAAATATAATGAGAAATATTCAAACTTTATTGATTTTATTTTATAATTATCTTCAACAATTCCATTAATTATAATTAAACCATTTAATATTAAATGACGAGTTTTATTTGATGATATTTTATTATCTTTTAATAACGAGAATTGACCAATACATCGAATCTTAATAAATATATTTATTTAATATTAAATAAATAAAAATAAAAATAAAACTAAAAACTAACATTATCTCGTGTAAGATTTATTTTTAATGCATATGAAAGACACATTAATTCAACTAAATTTTTACTACGATTAATACAATTACAATCGAGTTTTTCAACATCTTTTAAAGAATTTATCCAAGAATAATATTCATTAAAACGATGACGACATTCTAAAAATAAATTATTTATTTATATTAAACAAAAAACAAAAACAAACGATGAACTATTTCAACAAATTCAATCAAATAATTATATTCAATTAAATGAATGTTCATTTGAAATTCCTTTTAATTCAAATCAATTTAATCTTCAATGGTTTTTATCAAAACATCAAAATATTAATTTAACATTTAATGATTATCCATCGAAATTAAATTATCTTCAACATCAATTTGACATTTTTACAGAAAAATTAAATAAATTATGGCATGAAAAACCATTAAATATTCATCAAAAATTAAATGTTTCTTTAATTCATGATAATATTCATTTATTCAAAGAACGTTTACCTCCATTGCTTAAATTACCTTCAAATATAGATTTAACAGAAGATCTTGTTAACATTGGTCTTTATCAGGTATTTAATAAATAATATTTATTATGTTAAATATGTTTTTATTTAAATATTATTATGTAGGAAATAATCTATTTTAATAAACAATTAGAATTAATATTAAATGATATAAATGAAATTGAATATATGTTATCTTATGATAATTTATTATTAGAAAAA